ACATGAAAGCTCGTATTACCGCCATCACCTCCATTGTGATGCTGCTAGAAGTCATACACAAGACACCACTGGCTTCCTGGACTGTTCTGCCTGCACTGCACGAAGTAAATGCCCATACACTTTGTTGTCCTCGTACAACAGACCGATATGTGTAGATCAGTACATCCGCCTCATCTGAATGTTCATATGTAAGCGCGTGGGTCTCTGCATTGACAGCAACTGAATTTTGCTACCGACAGATCCTATCAAACGTGACAACACATGAAGAGGTACAGTTAATCACCTGAGGTACAGGTATCCATTCTTCACCGAAGATGCATTATACATACGAGAGGGGATACAAATGAACAGCTTAAAAGGATGACAAAAATCACAGTATTCATACCATTGTCTTGTAACGCGAAAATATTATTGTTGATTTGATTTGATTTGATTCAAGAACCGACATCACAGCACTTAGGGCATTTCCATAAGCGCTCCGTCCCCATCTTCAGCAGCCAGCGAAGAGTTCCGATACTAATAGTGCTAGTAGTATTCTGATTAAACGTCCGTCTTGCCTTTTCCCTGAGCCTCGAGGATCTGCCAGAACCTCTCGTCACTCACCGCTGAATCAATCTCACCAGACTGTTCTGATCCATCTGCTACTCCGAACTGTACACTCTCTCCCACAAGGCACTAACCACTTCTGCCGTATCATGTATCAGTATTCCACCAAGTTGTGCAAAGCCAGCCAGTCTGTCCGCCTGTTCAATTCCCAACACAACGCCAATCCCGGTGAAAAAATCCACACAATACTCCTCACCCTTGTCCTCCGCAGCGAAGCATGCCACTCTGCACGAAGCATACCTGCTCTGATCTTTCTCAGCATGCTTTCTGAATCAGTTACAAATCAGTTATTATTGTTAAGGATTGGTTTATGGTTTACACAAGGGATCAACATCGTAGCACAAGAGAAGTATCCCAAAAGTGCTTCGTTCTACTTCTAACTCAAGCCTGAGTCCGAAAAATCTCAGCGCAGTGCACGAACTCTGTAGCTCTGGTGAGGATTCTGGACTACTTTGGGCAGATTTTTAACTCCAAATTGTGAGCAGCGTCGCTATGCTACGTTTTTCGATTTCCAACTGCCAGGGGATTCGTTTTTTAGGTTGTAAAGGATAAAATAACATAACCCTTGGTCTGTTACGGTCGTGGAGGTCAATCGATGTAAGCACTAGCACACAAAACCCGCCATCTTTCTCTGTCTTCTGCTTGAGGAATTACTGTATGATAACTTACTCCTGTCCATTTTTTGATGTTGTCATACCAGATTGTTTTGTCCTCCTCCTCTTTGACTCCACCCCCGCCTCCACCACACCCCCAATGTTCCTTGAAGTACTGTCTGTGCAATCGAATTAAATCTCAGCATGTTTCCGAATCAATTTAGCTTGCGGCGTTTCAAACTGCCAAGAAAGGCTCCTGACGATCATCAAATTTGCATATTTTGTCTCTGTTTTTTGTTTTGTTTTATTTTTGTGTGTTAAGGATATCAAGAGTGTAAAGCACGTCTCATCATGTGTATACGAACATAATGACGTCATACTGTTGGTTTAAAGATGGCCGCCTCGATTTTGATATGCACCAAAGATTAGCAGTATCTGTTATAAAGTTTCTTATCACCGAAGTTGTGAAATCTGTATTTATTCATCGGCGAATGGAGGGCTTGTGGGGTGATGCCCACCTGTCAGTCCTGCAAGGGTATGAGTGGAGCAGGAAGTTTCTAAACGGCTGCAATCGACTCTGGAGGGGGGGGGGGGGGGCGGTCACTGATAGGTATGCCTGACCCAGTCGTGAACAGTCTACCACAGAAGTCACTTTGTTGTGATAAATGGTTTGAAGAGCTGCTTTCGTTGGCTTGTGCGTGTCTGCTTGATTACATATCTATATGTCTGCCTGGCTACACTCGTGTCTGCCTATCTTTCTGTCTGTAGTATGTATGTAGATGCTTGTATGTATGTATTAGGTATGTCTGTGTGTGTATATATATATATATATATATATATATATATATATATATATATATATATATATATATATATATATATATATATATATCATGTATGAGTATGTAAGAGTATATATACGTGTGTGTTAGTGTGTAAGATTGTGTATTCGTGAAGTGTGTATGCATTATTCTATAATGCATATTTCTTTATTATATACATAACATGCATTATTGATAAAAGGCATTGGTACTCTGAAATATGAGTGCTTCGAAGGGCCGAATGTCAGACGGGCCTGCGTGCCCAGTTTGTAACCCTTTAAAAAAAAGTTTGTTTGTTCGTTCGTTCTGTATGCCTGCCTGCCTGCCTGCCTGCGACTCTGCCTGCCTACATGCGTGATTATCTATCTGCCTGTCTACATATCCACATAGCTGTCTGTCTGTCTGTTCTACCAGTCTGTCCACATATCCACATAGAGGTCTGTCTGTATGTTTTACCTGTCTATCTGTATGTTCTACAGTCTGTCCACATATCGACATAGAGGTCTGTCTGTATGTTCTACCTGTCTGTATGTTCTACCAGTCTGTCTGTATGTTCTACCAGTCTGTCTACATATCCACATACCTATCAAACTGTAAGTTCTACCAGTCTGTCTACATATCCACATAAAGGTCTGTCTGTAAGTTCTACTAGTCTGTCTACATAGCCACATACCTATCAAACTGTAAGTTCTACCAGTCTGTCTACATATCCACATAAAGGTCTGTCTGTAAGTTCTACTAGTCTGTCTACATAGCCACATACCTATCAAACTGTAAGTTGTAACAGTCTGTCTGCATAGCCACAGACCGGTCTGTCTGTATGTCTGTTTGTATGCCTTTCCTCCTGTCTACCTAACCACTTACCTACCTACCTCCTGACGGATCTATCTACCTACCTATATGTCTGTCTGTGTGGCTGTCTATATATATATATATATATATATATATATATATATATATATAATATATATATATATATATATATACCTTCTGTCTGGGTATTATAAAAATTAACAAGGACGTAGAGCTAAATGTAGACTAAGAACAAAGTAGAAAAATCGCATCTGAGAAACTCTACAACCGGATTAAGCGGCTATGCTGGAGATAGCCATATGAGCCTGAACTATATAACCTCGTAACTCTCTCGCATGCGTCCAAGTCAGGTAGAGGAAGCAGAGAAAGAAATAGGCTTTTTTTTTTCAAACCCATCAAGTATGTCACTTGCATCTGATTTCCTTGGTAGGAGGACGTCAGAGGAATGTCACCAAAGAAATGCCAAAATCATAGCCATTGCTATCTCTTGACGTTACAAGATAGTCACTCATCTTCCACAATTACATATTATTTGAAAAACTGTCAAAAATAGGATAAACTATAATTACAAATGCCGCCTAGCTTTATTTTACACAGCAACAATAGTATTGCTATTGACACCTTATAAAAAAAAAATACATAGATAATAACCAGATAATACAGCATATGGCAAAACCATGGGTAGAATAATAATGTACTTATATTCTTAGTTTGCCTCTTTCTCCGGTTGCGTCATACAGGATCAATAAACCACTACCCGGTATAGTTTTGTGAAATATGAAATTACAGATTACACATTGGTACTTATTGATTACTTTTAGTATTAATAATCACTTATCTTTTGCATCATTGACTATTATTAAGTTTGCCATATATTTCGTTATTACTCGTTAATATAAAAGTGTTATTTTTATTATTCTTATTTAAATAAATGATGTTTATAAAATAATTTCGATCGCTTCAGCTGTTGTATCAACATAATGCTATAAACATACTTTAATGTTTTGTTTCATAATTTAGAAATTTACCCGTGGAAGCAGCTTAAAATTTTTTATTATTTTGATGTCATATACCTAAAGAAATTGTGAAACTATTCCTGACTCAAGCAGTTGCTATGAAAGCTTTTTACTTGTATATCTTTAATAGTTGACTATAACTACAAAAAATAGCTCTGGAGAAGTTGACCAGCGAAAACCTGCTATTAAAATGGTCTTTGTCTTCTTCGAGTTCACTGGCAGTAAACCTCGACAGCCTCTATAGCAGAGTTCTCAACCTGTGGGTGGCCACTGCTTTCACACGGGTCGCCTAAGATTATCAGAAAACTTTGCACAAAGCACCAAACACAGTTGTACCAGAGTTTCGTGCTAGAGACAACAACCTAAAATGGACTACATAACTCAGCGAAAGTAATGGGGAAAGACGTGCACAAATACAACGGAACGTTTCAACCCGAGTCTTTATCAGCAGAGTACTTAATACAACAACACAAAAGCTGTGAACGGAAAACTCAATTGAAAATACAAAATTAATCCTATTGAATTTTTTTTTGTTTAAAAGGATGACTGCGTTTGCGAATTGTGTTGCGTCAGTCAGAAGTAACCCTACAATTGTCAGAACGTAAAGCAAACGGTTTGGCCTCTTCGCCATGAAACACAACACAATGAACTGCAGCTCGAACTATAAGAACAGTTGATTAAAAAAAAGAACACTGCAATTGCAAACTGAACTGCGCCTGTAAGAGACAAACCCACAATTGTCAGAACACAAACAAACGGTTTGACCGCATCGCCATGAGAAACAACACAATGAACTACAGCTGGTGGATCAGTGGTTCCAGAAACCCAAACATCACAGAAGAAGAATCACAAACAGCCGACATCTTCAGTACCGAACAGACTGAACTGGCTCTGTTAGTTTTAATGCTGGGGATAACCCCAGCGGTCTCGTTCGTGGGAATTGTGGGAAATGCCTGCAGCATTCTTGTTCTCGCTAAACAAAACTGGAAGAAATGTTCAAACATTCTCCTTCTAGGACTAGCAATCAGTGACATTACTTATCTGATTGGCTTCAACAGTGTACCAAAAATCATCTACACAATTTATGGAAAATAATCCTTTCCTTATTCTAAACTTGCTTCACAAATTCTGTTTATCATTCTTGAAATTAGTATAATCATTGATTATTCATCAGGACTGACCTCGCTAACTATTCCAATGCTGATAACAATTGAACGTTTAGTAACGATATTTCATCCGCTAAAGGTATCCAAAATTATCACACCTCTGCGAACTTTCCTAGCTATATCAGGCGTGTTTATTTTCTGGTATGTAAATTTTACATATACCGTATTTTGGACTTCACTGAGTGATACTTATGACATGCTGGAAAACAGAACCGTGTATGTTATCATACGCTCGTCCTTGTATGACCACGATAAAGATATCGTGGATGACCTAGAAGACCTGTGGACATATTCGAGTTTACGAATACCGCCATTGTTTACTTTCATCGGTTGTATTATTATCGGTATCAAAATTAAAATGGCGTCAGTGAAAAGAATGCAGCTGACGGGGCGGGAAGTGAGTGGGTCAATGAACAGAACTACGAAAACACTTTTGGCAGTGTGTGGGATGTACACAATTACTTGTATTATAATGTTACTGCCATATTTTATGCCGCAGTATGCCTCTTATTCTGTCAGCGAGGAAACGTCGACAGGCATAAGTCAAGTGTTGTATCAAACAATCAATGTGGTGATGTGTATCAACAGTTCGTGTAACTTTATTATCTACATCGTCTTTAACAAGAATTTCAGAGATGCGTACAAGGCTTTGTTTATCAAGAACCGTCAAGTTAACGCTTCAGTCGGGAGGTTCAGGAAGTGACCAGGGGGCTGCGTGGTCTCGAAGCATGGTGTCCGCCCTGAGTCCTAGAGATTCAGGGTTCAATCCCCTGTAAGGGCTGGGATCTTTTCACGTGGACTTGGACTTTTAGTAATTCCCCCTGATCTCTGGGTGGTGAGATCGGACGCCCGTGTGCATTGTTGCGCACGTAAAAAAAATCCCTTGGCAGTTGGAAATTGAAGAGAGTAGCCTAACGGTGCTGCCCGAGCAAAATTTAGAGTTAAAAATCTACTTAAAGTATTTGCCCGGCTCTCTAGCGTAATTGGCTTAACCGGATAGAGCGGAGACCGGGTGACGAACTCCTTGTGGTCCGGGTTCACTCCCGGGGATAGACAGAAAAGCCACATTTTCTCCCAGACTTACGGTATTTACAATGGAATCAAGGCCGAAAGGTTGCGATATCCATAATACCGAGCCGAAGGGTTAACAACTCGTGGTTTCTGGATACTAAAACAAACAAACAAAGTATTTCAGGATCTTCGCCGGTGCTACAGAGCCTGTGCACTGTGCTGAGCTTCTTCGGACTCAGACTTGAATAAGAAGAAGAACAGAGCACTTATGGGTTACTACCTATGTGCCGTGATGTTGATCCGTTGTTCAAACTTTAAACCTCAAACTTCGGACTCAGACTTGAGTTAGAAGAAAAACGGAGCACGTATAGGTTACTACCTGTGTGCCATGATGTTGATCCGTTGTTCAAACCTCAAACCTCAGGAAATGGCCAGAGGCGAGATGTGCATGTAATGTCTGTAAACCCCACTTACACTGCCATTCATCATCATCATCATCATCATCTTCATCATCATCATCATCACCGTTCTCTAATACTGCGTGTCGCTGGGTCACCAGTTGCTGTTGATTGATCAGCTCTCTCCACCTTTGAATGTCAGATGCAATGGACTTCATTGTTGCATGACTCAGGCCTGCCCAGTCAATCAAGTTCTGAATCAAGGTCTTTCTTGGTCTGCCTCCTCTCCTCTTCCCCTCTACTGAGCAATATGGTATTGTTTTTGAGATGCCGTTAGATTGTCATTCATGTTTCGTACAAATTGTTGTTTTTGTGTGCATGTTCTGTTTTGTTTTTTTTTTTTCCCCACTGCAGTTAAAGGAGGTCCATGGGTGATAAGGCTGGTTAATTCTACCGTGAACCTCGTCATTTGTGATGTGGTCTCTGTGTGATATGCCAATAACTTTTCTGAAAGATCTCATTTTTCCAATGCTTGTATCTTCTTTTGGTTAGGGGTTGGGTTAGGTTAGGGTAGGGCTAGGGAGGGGTTTTAGGGCAGTATAGGGTTAGGTAGGGGTTAGGGTTGGGGTTAGGGATGGGGTTAGCGGTTAGGGTTAGGGTGTTAGGGTTAAGGGTTAGGAGATGGGGTTAGTTGGTTGGGTTTAGTTAGGTTTCGGGTTAGGGTAGTAGTTAGGGATGGTAGTAGTTAGTTAGTTAGTGTTAGGGTTAGGGATAGTATAGTAGGTAGGGTTAGTGTTAGGGGTTAGGGTTAGGGTTAGGGTTAGGGTTAGGTGGTAGTTAGGGTTAGGGATGGGGTTAGTAGTTAGGGTTATGGGTTAGGGTTAGGGATGGGGTTAGAGATGGGGTTAGGGTTAGGGTTAGGGAGTAGTTAGGGTTAGGGTTAGGGTTAGGGTTTAGGGTTAGGGTTAGGTTAGTGTATGGGGTTAGGGATGGGGTTAGGGTAGGGTTAGGGTTAGGGTAGGGAGTGGGTTAGTTAGTTTAGGGTTAGGTTAGTGGGGTTAGGGTGTTAGGGTTAGGGATGGTTAGGGATAGGGTTAGTCGTATGGGTTAGGGTTAGGGTTAGGGTTGGGGGTAGGTTAGTTAGGGTTAGGGATAGGGTTAGTAGTTAGGTTAGGGATAGGGTTAGGGATGGTAGTTAGGGATGGGTTAGGGTTAGTTAGATTAGGGTTAGGGTAAGAGGTAGGGTTAGGTTTAGGTTTAGGGTTAGGGATGGGGTTAGTTAGTTAGGGATAGGGTTAGGGTTATGGTTAGGGTTAGGGTTAGGGTTAGTTAGTTAGGGTAGTAGGGTTAGGGTTAGGGTTAGGGTTAGGGTGAGGGTTAGGTTAGGGTTTAGGGTAGGTGTTAGGTTAGGGTTAGGGTTAGGGTTAGGGTTAGGTTAGGGTTAGGTTAGGGTTAGTGGGTGGGTTAGTAGTAGGGTTAGGGTTAGGTTAGTTAGTTTAGTGTTAGTAGTTAGGTTAGGGTTAGTTAGTAGGGTTAGTTAGGGTTAGTTAGTTAGGGTTAGGGTTAGTTAGGGAGTTAGTTAGGGTTAGGGTTAGGGTTAGGGTTAGGGTTAGGGTTAGGGTTAGGGTTAGGTTAGGGTAGGGTTAGGGTAGGGGTTAGTAGTTAGTTAGGGTTAGGGTTAGGGTTAGGGTTAGGGTTAGTAGTTAGGGTTAGGGTTAGTAGTTAGGGTTAGGGTTAGGTGGGGTTAGGTTAGTTAGTGGTTAGGGTTAGGGTTAGGGTTAGGGTTAGGGTTAG